TCTATGATTTTGACATTTTTTAATGCAGAGTAATACTCCATTGTGTATAAATGCCACATTTTTTTTATCCATTCGTCTATTGAAGGGCATCTAGGTTGGTTCCACAGTCTTGCTATTGTGAATTGTGCTGCTATGCACATTGATGTAGCAGTGTCCCTGTAGCATGCTCTTTTTAGGTCTTTAGGGAATAGACCTAGAAGGGGAATAGCTGGGTCAAATGGTGGTTCCATTCCCAGCTTTCCAAGAAATCTCCATACTGCTTTCCAAATTGGCCGCACCAATTTGCAGTCCCACCAGCATTGTACAAGTGTACCCTTTTCCCCACATCCTCGCCAGCATTTGTTGTTGTTTGACTTCATAATGGCTGCCAATCTGACTGGAGTTAGATGGTATCTTAGGGTGGTTTTGATTTGCATTTCTCTGACTGCTAGAGATGGTGAGCATTTTTTCATGTACTTGTTGATTGATTGTACGTCCTCCTCTGAGAAGTGTCTGTTCAGCTCCTTGGCCCATTTGTTGATTGGGTTATTTGTTATCTTATTGTCTAATTTTTTTAGTTGTTTGTATACTCTGGATATTAGGGCTCTATCTGAAGTGTGAGGAGTAAAGATTTCCCAGGGTGTAGGCTCCCTATTTACCTCTCTTATTGTTTCTTTTGCTGAGAAAAAACTTTTTAGTTTGAGTAAGTCCCATTTGTTGATTCTAGTTATTAACTCTTGTGCTATGGGTGTCCTATTAAGGAATTTGGAGCCCGACCCCACAGTATGTAGATTGTAGCCAACTTTTTCTTCTATCAGATGCCGTGTCTCTGATTTGATATCAAGCTCCTTGATCCATTTTGAGTTAACTTTTGTGCATGGCGAGAGAAAGGGATTCAGTTTCATTTTGTTGCATATGGATTTCCAGTTTTCCCAGCACCATTTGTTGAAGATGTTATCCTTCCTCCATTGCATGCTTTTAGCCCCTTTATCAAATATAAGATAGTTGTAGTTTTGTGGATTGGTTTCTGTGTCCTCTCTTCTGTACCATTGGTCTACCCGCCTGTTTTGGTACCAGTACCATGCTTTTTTTGTTAATATTGCTCTGTAGTATAGTTTGAAGTCTGGTATCGCTATACCGCCTGATTCACACTTCCTGCTTAGCATTGTTTTTGCTATTCTGGGTCTTTTATTTTTCCATATGAATTTCATGATTGCTTTCTCTATTTCTACAAGAAATGCCGTTGGGATTTTGATTGGCATTGCATTAAACCTATAGAGAACTTTTGGTAATATCACCATTTTGATGATGTTAGTTCTGCCTATCCATGAACAGGGTATATTTTTCCATCTTCTAAGATCTTCTTCTATTTCTCTCTTCAGGGTTCTGTAGTTTTCATTGTATAAGTCTTTCACCTCTTTTGTTAGGTTGATTCCCAAGTATATATATTTTTTTTTTGAGGATATTGTGAATGGAGTGGTTGTCCTCATTTCCATTTCAGAGGATTTGTCACTGATATACAGGAATGCCTTTGATTTATGCGTGTTGATTTTATATCCTGCCACTTTGCTGAATTCATTTATTAGCTCTAATAGTTTCTTTGTAGACCCTTTTGGGTCTGCTAGGTATAGAATCATGTTATCTGCAAATAGTGATAATTTAAGTTTTTCTTTTCCTATTTTTATGCCTTTAATTTCTTTCATCTGTCTAATTGCTCTGGCCAGTGTTTCGAGAACTATGTTGAACAGAAATGGTGAGAGAGGGCATCCCTGTCTTGTTCCAGATTTTAGAGGGAATGCCTTCAATTTTTCTCCATTTAGAATGTTGCTAGCCTGAGGCTTAGCGTAGACTGCTTTTACAATATTGAGGTGTGTTCCTGTTATCCCTAGTTTTTCTAGAGTTTTGAACATAAAGGGATGCTCTACTTTGTCGAATGCTTTTTCCGCATCTATCGAGATGACCATATGGTTCTTATTTTTAAGTCTATTGATGTGGTGAATAATATTTATTGATTTCCGTATATTGAACCAGCCTTGCATCCCAGGGATGAATCCTACTTGATCATGGTGCACAAATTTTTTGATATGTTTTTGTATCCGATTCGCCAGAATTTTATTGAGGATTTTTGCATCTAGGTTCATTAGAGATATTGGTCTGTAGTTTTCTTTCTTTGAAGTGTCTTTGTCTGGTTTAGGAATCAGGGTGATGTTGGCCTCATAGAATGAATTTGGAAGTTCTTCCTCTTTTTCTATTTCCTGAACTAGCTTGAAAAGTATTGGTATTAGTTCCTCTTTAAAGGTTTTGTAAAACTCTGCTGTATACCCATCCAGTCCTGGGCTTTTCTTAGTTGGTAGTCTTTTGATGGTTTCTTCTATTTCCTCAATTGATATTGGTCTGTTTAGGTTGTCTATATTCTCCTGACTCAATCTGGGCAGATTATATGACTTAAGAAATTTATCGATGCCTTCACTATCTTCTATTTTATTGGAGTATAAGGATTCAAAATAATTTCTGATTATGTTCTGTATTTCTGAAGTGTCTGTTGTGATATTGCTTTTTTCATCCCGTATGTTAGTAATTTGAGTTCTCTCTCTTCTTCTCTTCGTTAGCATGGCTAAGGGTCTGTAGATTTTATTTATTTTTTCAAAGAACCAACTTTTAGTTTTGTCAATTTTTTTCAATTGTTTCTTTTGTTTCGATTTCATTAATTTCAGCTCTGATTTTAATTATTTCTTGCCTTCTACTTCTTTTGCTGTTGTTTTGCTCTTCTTTTTCTAGGATTTTGAGATGAAGTATGAGATCATTTATTTGTTGGTTTTTTTTTTTCTTTTTTTAAGGAATGAACTCCAAGCAATGAATTTTCCTCTTAGAACTGCTTTCAAAGTGTCCCATAGATTCCGCTATGTTGTGTCTGTGTTTTCATTTATCTCTAAGAATTTTTTAATTTCCTCCTTGATGTCTTCTATAACCCATTGATTATTCAGTAACCTATTTTTCATTCTCCAAGTGATGCATGATTTTTCCTTCCTTCTTTTATCATTGATTTTCAGTTTCATTCCATTATGATCAGATAAGATGCATGGTATTATCTCTACTCCTTTATATTGTCTAAGAGTTGCCCTGTGACATAATATATGATCTATTTTTGAGAAGGATCCATGTGCTGCTGAGAAAAAAGTGTAACTGCTTGATGTTGGGTGGTATATTCTATATATGTCAATTAAGTCTAGGTTATTAATTGTGTTATTGAGTTCTATAGTTTCCTTATTCAACTTTTGTTTGGAAGATCTGTCCAGTGGTGAGAGAGGTGTGTTGAAGTCTCCCATGATTATTGTATGGTGGTCTATTAGACTCTTGAACTTGAGAAGAGTTTTTTTGATGAACATAGCTGCACCATTGTTTGTCTCTAAATTCCCGCCATGCACTAAGGCACCAGAACTATTACCGACCCCCCTCCAAGGAAACAGCAACATGATAGGAAAATAATATTGTCAAAATTGTATAATTCTGTTGTTAACCATTGTTTTGTCCTCAACTGTTAACTGATAAATGTTACTTCCACAAAATATGTGAATTTTCTGCTTCTGAGAGGCAATGTGAAAGAGGAAGTATTACTTTTATGTACAAAGTTATTTATTTATAGAAATTTTGGTACTATGTACATTGAAAACATGTAAAATATTGAAGTGTCTAACAAAAGGCATTGAAGTGTCTTTAATAAAGATTCATTTGTAAGTGTTGAGCGTATGGCAGGAATAAAAGTTGGGATATATGGTGTCCTTAGGGAGACAACAAATGGCCTCTTTTGGCTAGAAAAAATATGTGCAAAGCAGGTTTGCAGGTTAGAACCATGCAGCTTATTCAGCAAATATTTATTAAGCATTTGCTAGACACTTAAGCATAGGATACCATGGTAAGCATGATAGGAAAGTTCTCTTACAGAACCTGTTAGTCTATTAGAGCAGGGATATTAGTTAAGAGCTGTGATAAGGACCACATGGTAAAATCTAGATCAAGTTTCAAGATAAATTGTCTTTGAGGAAATTCTGTTTAAGCTGAAACCTGATGGTTGAATACACATCAGCTAAGCACTGCTTGGAAAACTGTCTGCCTTCTCTAATCCTCTAATGTCCAAATCCTCTTAACCAAATTATGCACTATGTGTTCAGTAGTCAATACAAATGAGTTACTGGTACTCTAAGCAATTGAAATTGGCATGAAAAAGAAGTATATTTTCCATTCCTGGTCTAGAAGATACCATGCCAAATATAGCATGACATTTCTTCATTTTTAAATGCAAAAAAATAATGATTTTAAACATCTTACAAATAGCAATTTGTGAAAGTCAACAACAAATTCTTCACTCAAGCTTAACCAAATTTTGATAGAGTAAGTTCAGTTTTTAACATAATATATGTCACTTGGATGGTAAAATAGCATCCAATTATATGTTCAGTATCTGATGAGAGTCCAGAGGAAGGATGCTATATATTTTAAGTTGTGGGTTTCTTTAGCAAGATTTGCCAACTGGAGTATATAATGAAATATATAATGAGATAAGCCTAATGGATTTATAGAAAAAGTAGAATTGATGAAGAGGTCTAGGCTCAATAGAAAAAAGATGAAAGGTCAGAGAATTGCTGATAGAGTGTGCAAAAAGGGAGATGCTCAAAAACTGAAGAGAAGAGAATGAGTGACAAACATCACCAAAGAAAGTGGGTAAGGAATGAGGTACTGAAATATAAAGCATCAGAAAAGGGATAGTTTTGGGGATGGCAAGTTTTAGGGTGTGGCCATGGGAGTAGATGAATGAAAGAAATGGAGAAAAGCAAGTAACTGTGAGGCTATGATGTTGATTGTATCTTGACATGGGTGGAAGATGGTGAGGTTTAGTGGTGCTGTCAAAGCTTTAAGTCATGTGTGAATATTTTCAAAAATCTGAAAAGTACCCCAGTTGGGGATCAAATGGGAAGTAAATCTCAGTAACAGGGTATATGCAAGAATCTGACTTAATAATCGGCCTACAATCCCCTATAGAAGGAGGAACAAGGAATTGCTTAGAAGTGATGGAATGCAGACAGGATGCAGCTCTGGCTTCATGAAAAAGAGGTGGCCATACTTCAGGCAAGGACTTGTGAGCCTGGGGTGGACAGATTGAGTATGAGGTGGAGTTCGGTGGAATAAAATGGGAAGAAATAGCTAGGGGCTCAAAAGAACAAAGATTTGGAAACCCAAGGCCTTGTTTGAGAATAATAGAAATGGAAAAGGAACTGCACAGGCTCAGGCTAATGAAAAAGGTGATGAAAGCCAGGGATAAAGGTCTTGATGGTAGTTGATTTTGAAACTCTTTCTAGAGCTTGAATGTTAAAATGTTTCCCTATTGATGCAGACAGGAGTACTCAGCTCTATAAGCCAGACAATAATCTCTGCCCTGTGGCTGACTTTCTGCCTTAAAATATGAGGCCTCTTAGGAGGGAAGTAGGCATAGCCAGGTAAGAGTCATGGTGACACATTTAGAGTTCTTCTGTTTTCATACAAACAGATTTGCACACAAAGGAGTGCCATCTTATATAGGGACTGCCAGGTGGAATCATCTTGGGCATTAACTGGATCAGTTGACATTAATAGGTGTTAGTCAGCTTTCCAAAGCTTTGACCAAATAACTGAGATAATATTCATTAATAAGGAAAGGTTCATTTGGTTCACAGTTTCAGATGGTTGCATGGCCCCATGGCCTTTGGGCCTGAGGTGAGGCAGTCCATCATGGTGGGAATATGCAGCACTCCTGCACGTTTGCCAGAGAACCAAGAGAGACAAGAAAGGTCTGGGATCTCAATATCCCCTCCAAGGGCATTGCTCCAATGACCTAACTTCCCTCCAATAGGCCCCACCTCCTAAAGGGTCCACCATCTCCCTGAAACACTAAAGGCTAATAACCAATTCTTTAAGACATAGGATTTTGGTGGACATTTATCCAAGTGATAGCCATGGGTTTAGTTGTGTTAGGATTCAGGGTTGATCCCATTCTTAGCATGGATCTGAGGTGAATTCTAAATTGACCAGAAGTGGTAAATGGAGAGTTGGAAGAATGTAGAAAGAAAAGATAAATTGTCTTGCAGTTTGTCCTGTACACAGACAACTCAAATTCTATATAACCATGAGAAGCCACAATACTGAAATCAGATCCCTATCACTTTTGGCAAGAATTTATGAAATTTTTCAAAATCTAGCTCCCTTGAACTGCATGACCAGAAAAAATTGAGGCAACATGTCAAAGAGTGGCACAGATCAATATAATTGTGGCTATGAACACATTGACAATCTAAGTCATTTAGGTGCAAGTCCTTAAAATATAATTGCAAAACAGTGTATGAATTTTAGAGACAATCTATTTTACATACTGAAGAAGAACAAGTTTATTCTCTCCCTAGAGAGAGAAGTTTGAAGCAGACACAATTTACCTCTTTCACCTATGTGCTTTGGACAAAAATCTGCAGAGACTGATGATGAATGCTGAGGATGGGAGCCTTGTTCTAACCAGATGAGGACACATGCATCTTAAATGTTTCCCACAGGTACAGTGGCAGGCCCTAAAGACAGGTATCCTGGATATATCCTCAGTGTCCAGAGTATCTTTCAGAGCATGGAATCTTTCAGAGTACAACAAACCAAACAAACACCATCACCATGTTCAAGAAAAGAAAAGAAGGGTAACTTGCAAAATGCTTAGATCACAAGTGACCTTTTAAACCCATTAAAAGATGAATGTGCTATATAAAGACTCAGTAATAACAATGCAAACAGCAACCAAATGTTATCTTCCAGAGGACAATGGCATCATGACATTAATAATATACTAACAGGCTGGGAACATAGGTCAGCTTTTCTTTGTGTGGAGTGATTTTCTGTTGGCTTTTAATGATGTGAGATAAGCTCATAATTTTGTTTCTCAATGGCAGATTTTGCTCCCAAATTAGTTATGTAACTTGATGCTCTATTCAGGTACCAGTATTTTTCAACTAATACTTTACGCAAAAGGAAAGTGAAATGAACTGTACACTTCCAAGTTCGTTATATTTTCCCATTTGGGGATATACTTCTATTTCTCAGAACATATCTCAGTTGTTAAACAGCACATGCCTAATCACATTAATTAAGGTATGTATTTTATTATATATTTATAATTGTGGATTTCACTTCATTTACAGTAGCTATGTGTTAGTACTGAATTTATTTCCAAATGGTTTCTAATCAGTCAAATGACTCCCTTAAAAATTCCAACTCATAACACAAATATTGTAACATTCTAAATTTCCTAGACTCAGAGTATTTAGATAAAGAATCATCTTTGACCAAGTCTGTTGGAGGCCATATATATAATATATAATTAAATATAAATATATATTTGTTCTAATCATTAAGGCAGAGAGGACACTCTTTCAGGAACTCCTGGGTGGAATACCCCCACCCCCACCCCCACCATAAGAATGCCTGGATCATGCTGTCCTAACTCACAGCCTTAGGATCAAAGAGCCTCCTGGAGATGGGCGTCGCCTGCCAAAGGCCAAATAACCTGTTTATTGTGGCATCCCTGCCACCCTGAGAAGCAAGCACCAAGAAAAGACTCCTCCCACATGGAAACCTTATACATACTGATCCCCTTTGATCTGTACCACTATAAATAAAGCAGGCATAGGCTTCTTCTTTGTTAGAAGCTAGACCCCTCTAGTAGGCTCAACTGGCCATGCCCCTACTTTAAATATATTCTTGTCTGTTTTTCTTTAATTTCTTGATATATTAGTTTAAAATCTTATTTCACAGCCAGCACATCACTACTAGGGGTACCCACCCTCTCGCCCACACAGGACATGAGCGAGACAAGTCTACACAATTTGCAAATAGAAGGAAGCCTAATAGAGGCTTCCTTCAACCATCTGGGTTTAAGATATCAAAAGAAAATTGTAGAGGGCTGGGATTGTGGCTCAGGGGTAGAGCGCTCACCTAGCATGATTAAGGCCCTGGGTTTGATCCTCAGCACAACATAAAATAAATAAATAAAATAAAGGTAATGTGTCCTACTACAACTAAAAAACTTGAAGGAGGAGGAGGAGGAGGAGGAGAAGAAGGAAGGAAGGAAGGAAGGAAGGAAGGAAGGAAGGAAGGAACTGTAGAAGTTGTAAAGGAAGAACACCATTGCTGGCTCGTACAAAATTTTCCTACAGTCCCATATTAATCTTTGTGGAGTTCCACTAGGGAATATTAAGGGCCAAATTGAAAAAAGCAGAATCTGCAACCAAACCCAAAGGGTGGGATATAAGCTAAAGGAGATATAAAGTCTAGAAAGGATTAGCTACTGAGCACCAGGAATGTGATAATGAGCAAAGTTCATTTGAATCCAGCAAGTTCATTTGCTACAAGCAGAGTGGAAGGCACCTTGGCTTTTCATTTTCCTTTAATGTAGACTCTTACTGTATTGCATGGTATGTTTGCATGATATGTTGGCCTATTTTAAAAATTAGACACCAAAGAATTTGGGTATTATTCTGTTAAAATTGGAGTGCACACAGAAAAGAGTGTTTGAGCAGGAGAAATAAGATGAAAATTTCAGGACTCTTTATCTGGCAATAAGGCATAGGCTCAACTTCAGGGCAACTTTGAACAGTTAAAGGCAATATTCAAGAGAGAAGCAGTGAAAGCCTGACTTGAATAAATTGAATAAATAAGTATAGAAATGGAAAAATAAATTGATCTTGGAAGAAGAATTGGAATAAATTAGCAGCTTGTTAGAAATAAGCGATTTCTGATTAGTTAATTAACTATTTGGTAATTCTTAAAGACACATTCAATAATTATGAAATATATGTCGAACACTTTTTAACCTAACTGCTGAATTTCCTACCTGGGGCCCAAAGTCAATTTAATGATATTGAACTCACCAGGAGGTGAGTACGCCTCATGCACAAGCATCAATCAAACACTAAATATGTAGAGATTTACAGAGAATAATAATCAACAAAATGTGCATTATTAGCTCAGCCAAGTATGTATATAGTGTTTCTTCTTTCCTCTGCTGCTATGTATTTGGTTTGTGATTCTTTGTGACTTCTATTGGAATGCCTGGAGACAAGACCCAGCTTTCCCTTCAGATTGTCCAACATTCTTGATACCTGACTCTGGTATACAGGTTCTGGTCTTCAAAGCTGTGCAGTTTCTCATTGATCTCAGCAGTAGCTGTTCAAACTTAACACATCACACCTTTGCTGATTTCTGATGTGAGCAAATGGATCTTAATTCCTTTTTCTCACCATTGCTGCCTTCCCCCTACCCTATCACTCTCCATGACTTTCTAAAGCATAGACTCACTTCCATTACCATATTTTTTAGAGAGAGAGAGAGAGAGAGAATTTTTTATATTTATTTTTTACTTTTCGGAAGACACAGCATCTTTGTATGTGGTGCTGAGGATTGAACCCGGGCCGCACGCATGCCAGGCGAGCGCGCTACTGCTTGAGCCACATCCCCAGCCCACCATTATCATTTTTTGAGACTTTTGTTCCCATTTAAAATCCCAAAGAGTTTTCTGCCCCATCACCTCCATTCCCAATTCTTCCTCATGTTGCCCTTATCTACAAAAATTTACCAAACATCATTTGGTTTGGGACTTGGAATGCTCATTTAAATCAATTAAAAACATTTCCTGTTTCCTAGTGAAGTGAAATTTAAATTCCAGGTTACTTGGGGGTGGGGGATAATTTAAGGAGCTGGCTGTCCCCCAGCACTGGGATCATGGCAGGAGATCTCAGGTAGCTCCCTGCAGTTGTTTTGGCTCTTCTGTTGGATGGCCATGTCATTGATAGATGGTGTCTTGAAGGTTGTGTATGCATTGTGTTGTTGTAAATGTCCTGGGCACTAAACCATGAGTGAGCTTCATTTTTATTCTATTCATTTCGGAATGGACAAGACATTATTTTCTGTTTCTCAAAACAATACTGCCAGACCTCTGAAACTAATTGGAAAGTGAGATTTGGGCCTTTTAGATCTGCGCTGTGAGGAAGTATAACCACAGGGTTCCTAAGAGGCCACATTACAAATTCATCCATTCACAAAAGGCATCACCCGATTCTTCCTAGCTTTATTTGACTTTTTGAACTGTAGAATATTTTGTTTCCTGGCTGAATGGAAAAACGAGACCAAAAGAAATGTCCAAATAAAGACTTCTTAGTAGAAATCACTTTGCATTGAACTATGATTCCTCATGGTCCTGAGCAAACAGCCACCTGTCTCAGAGAAGAGACTGAATTCTTCTCTAATGGAACTTAGCTGGAGCAGCCTAAAGCTATGACTTGAACAACAGTCTGTTTGTCTCCCTTATTCCTTCCCAAGGGTGGTCTGGGATGAACTGTGCTTTCAAGAGACGTTAGTTTCTAGCATGACAAAGCCCAGGTCCCTTCATTTAAAATGCTTTCTGAACACTATTTTACATAAGACCTTCTGAATTATTTGAAAAATGTTGGCCATAGCAGAACTAGGCATGGTTTAATTTTACCTTCAGATGCTTCAGAGCAGAGTGGAGAAACCTTCAGATTCGGCTCCATTGTTTATAGCAGGGATGCTTCCTCTTGTTTATTTTGGGAAGTGTGGGCCAGGCTATTTCAGAGGTTCTCCTGAATTCCTTCTTCCTTTATATTTCTATATTGAATGTTCTGTTTCTGCACCTATATTTTTGGTGAAAATTGTCAGAATCAAAATGCAGCCACTTGCTGGGTGCAGTGGTGCACACCTGCAATCCCAGAATTTTGGGAGGCTAAGGCAGGAGGATCACAAGTGCAAGGCCAGCCTGAGCAACTTTACAAGGCCCTAAACAACTTAGTGAGACTCTGTGTCAAAGTTAGAAAAAAAAAGATAAGGGGGATGGGGATGTGGTTCAGTGGTTAATTACTTCTGGGTTCAATCCCTGGTACAAAAAATAAAAAATAAAAAAACCTCCCATGATAATTTCCTTACCATTTCACAGCTTTCACCAACCACGATATTGCAAAGCCAAAGGCATTAATTTAGTCTTTTATTTAAAAACACCATATCTCACTTAACTACCAGCTAAAAATTCACTCCAAGATTCTGTGACTTTTTATTGCCTTGCTTTTCAGCTATTTCTCATTAAATTTTTGTTGCCAGAGGAGTTAAATATCCTGGATACCAAACCATTTATCCTTCTCTCTGCACTCTACTTTCCACCAGCAGTGGAGTCTATAATTTTATTTAATTTCCCAGCAAGCAACTGCAGAGTTATTTCTGATTCTCTGCAGTTCACAAATTTTTGATCATACCCAACTTTAAATCCTCTTTCTTTCTTCCTTCTTTTTTCTTTGTTTTATGGATCCTAAGTTTATTAATTCTGTTGTTCTGACTGTTATTTTCTTTGTACAAGTCCTTAGGCTACTATGAGCCAATAGCAGGACAAATCTTCAAACCAAATCCTTCCCCATTATGTAAATAAAATGAATAACATTGAATTCATTATCTCATCTTTTTGATACATCACCTATAAAATAAAACTTTGTAGGTCGCTAAACCACACCATCAATTTCCTGTTCTGATCCTCTGCCCCATACTGATTACCAAACATCTCTTCTTACCCAACTCAACCCATGCAGCAATTCTGCTCTTCCAGATACATGCATAGAAATGGTTTGAATAGAGTTCATGTCCATAAATAATTATATTTAGCATATACACCGAATTTTATGATTCCACCCTTACTTATGAATTAATTTGCTATAGTAGATTTAATAATTCCCATTACCAACATTTTATAGTTGGATAAAATAAAATACAGAGAATTACATTTCAAATTGCCCAAACTAGATTCTGCCTCTGTAAATACATTCATTTTTTTTAAGTTCTGAAACATGTATTTTCCCTTGTCTGCTTTGAAAAGCAAATGCAGGCTTAACTTTTACCAATATACTCAATTTTAATTCCTTTACTTCAAATGACATTCAATTTTGGCAGATAAATATGACTTTCCAGTTATTTCAAAACATTAATTTAATTGCATGATTTCACAGCTGAAATCTATTGGAGTTCTTTGTTTTTCTAACTCAGGGAACATAAGTGCAGAGAGAGTTAAAATTACTTGTTAAGTTACACACTCTTAATAAAGTACATCTACTATGTTTTATAGGCTGAAACAATATTCAGGTATCCAATTACCTTTTATTACTTATTCTCACTTGGAGAAATTCTTATCAAATATTATCTACATCATTCTTTATATGCTGCTTTTGAAATTATATTTGTTATCTATACATTGTTTTACGTATATGATATTATTATTTTTTGTTGTATCATGTATTGGATTTATATATTTGTGAATTGTAAAGACTCATAACACAAGATCTAAATTTTCAAAATTGTTCAAGATTCTTCTAATACTAAAACTTATCCGTAGACATAATTTAAACAAAGCATGTGTTTCTTAGATCAAAATATTTTCAAAGTCACCAGATTATATTTATCATAAAATGTTGAAAAGACATGGAAATACCAAATCAAAAGTTTAAGATCACCATCAATTCTTCCCTTCAAATAAAACCTTTATACAACTTTGGTTTTACTCAATGTTTTGCCTAGTAAAGAGCAGTCTTTTGCACATACTAAGAATCAATGGACATTAGAAAATGAATGAATGATGGATGTCAATCCATATGAATTCTAAACAAAAATTAGATCAATGTATATGTGTTTCTTTTTAACTTGTCATTTTTTCACTTAAATATCCCTAGCAATTACATGTATTCAGTATCTTCATGCAATACAATTTTTATAGCTGAACCATGTTCAAGTCATTCAATTGAATGAGTTACCTCATTTTAAATCTATGAAAAGAGATTAACATTTTTTGAATTAGTATGACATACCTCTCCCTGACATTGCCCTGCTTCAAGCCTCCACTGGATCTTTAAAAGTCCAGGATGTTCCACAATTGGAGATGATGTGCCCATCTGGCCCTATTGCCTCTTGACTTTGTCTGTTGACCCCAACCCAATTTCTTCCAGAGAAATTATGTACCATTTCCCAGGAGTGATACCATGCTCTCAATTTCTGGGCCCTAAAGCACCCTTCTCCTTTCACCAGGAATGCTAGTCCTACTCCTCGTCTGTAGTCTTCCAAATCCAAATCCAAGATTTTATTAGTAAATCCTGTATCACAGTGATCCTCAGGAATCAGCATAAACCACACAGAACAAGAAGTTGAGTAGAGATGAGAAGAACTGAAGTTTTATGTCAATTCAGAAGAAAGAAAAGAACATTTTGGCTTGAGTGAGCAGCCAACCCTCTAGACAGGGTTATTTTCCTGTTGTCCGTGAACAAGAAAAAGCCATCAAAAGCAGCACCTTCTTTTCCTCTCTTCAGGAAACAGTGGCATTCGATTCTTCTCTTCTGAGGCCCTGAGTGATTGGAGAATGGATTGGTAGAGAAGAAAACTATGCTGATCCACTAGCTGCTGAAATGCTGTAGCCCCCAGTTCCAAGAAGTAAAAATGACCAATGGGAAAGTGAAGACAGTGGCTCTAGCCCTGCAGGAAGGTAAACAGAGATGCCTTCCAGGATTCTATGACTGGTCACTAAAAGATGAATGGAAAATAAACCCAAGTGCAGGATTTTGATGAGATACCTCATAGTAATTTTATATAGAAAAACTGGTAAGCTTTGTGTGGGATAAAACATTTAGCTATATTTAACTTTCCCACAATGTGTGTGTGTGTGTGTGTGTGTGTGTGTACTTCAAAACATCACATCACACATAATAAATACATAGTTTTACATGTCAACTTAGAGTGTCATTAGGCTTGCTCTTGGTTTGGGTGTTTTTCTTCACATCTAGTTGGTTAATGTGATACCGGGCAAGAGTAATGTGAAAGAAAAGAAAATACTGTATTCAAAATACTTGCTTCTTTAACATTCAGGAAATGAAAAAGAAAGAGGGAAAGAAAGGAAGGAAAAGAAAAAGAAGAGTCTTATTTCTGCAATTCAACTCCCACACTGCTAGGCACATAATAAGCATTTAATATGTGAACATTCACTAAATTGATTATAAAACATAATATTTAGCTTTTTTTAAGCTTTTCTTCATAAAAACCTAAGTACAACAGCTAAGCATGAAACTTTATGATCTCTTCAACTGCCTGGGCTTTAATATGAAGGGAGCCACTTAATTTCTAATTGGAGTTAAGAAAAGAGATAGATTCTTTCTAAAATGCCATGAAGGTGCACCCTACAAGCTCAGGATCTAGTTCTCGAGAGACATCATCCAGTTTTCTACCACACAGAGACACTGGGCCAGATCAAACGAATTTTACCAATCTGTACTCAGGGACAGAGTGTAAAGCAGAGTGGAGCAAGGTTGGGGATATGGGGGGAGACTGGGGACAGGAGGTGGGATGGTTGGGGGGCTGGGAGGGGTTTCATCAGGACAGATAGGCCCATGGGGGCTGAGGTAGGGGAGGTTGTCCACTAAATTTAAACTTTTATGTTTCCATTTAACTCCAGTTTAGAAGTTACCCTTCTAAACCAAAGCAAAATGATTCTTTGAATATATAACACCAAACGGAAATATTGACTTCTGCTTTTTTTCATAAGGTCTCCCAAAATGTTCCCTTTCTTGTTATGTTGGACATTATGACCCAAGAGAAGCCATGCAAATCTTCAGGATGCCACCTGGTGTTCTTTGAACACATGATCTATTAAATTACCACTTAGAGACTGCTCTGTGTGTTCTATTTTGATTCACTTTATCTTTTTTTATAATTAATTTTTAATTTATATAAGACATCGGAATGCATTACAATTCTTATTACACGTATAGAGCACAGTTTTCATTTCTCTGATTGTATACAAAGCGTATTCACAGCAATTGGTGTCTTCATACATGTACTTTGCATAATAACATCCATCACATTCCATCATTGTTTCTAACCTCCTACTGCCTCCCTTCCCCTCCCACCCCTCTGCCCTATCTAGAATTCGTCTATTCCTCCCATGCTTCCTCTCCCTATCCCACTATGATTAGCCTCCTTATATCAGAGAAAACATTCAACATTTGGTTTCTTGGGATTGGCTAACTTCACTTAGCATAATCTTCTCTAACTCCATCCATCTACCTGAAAATGCCATGATTTTATTCTCTTTTATTGCTGAGTAATATTCCATTGTGCACGTATGCCACATTTTTTAATCCATTCATCTACTGAAGGGCATTTAATTTAGTTACACAGTTTAGCTATTGTGAATTGTGCTGCTGTAACATTGATGTGGCTGTGTCCCTTTAGTATGCTGTTTTTAAGTCCTTTGGGAATAGACTGAGGAGAGGGATAGCTGGGTCAAATTGTGGTTCCATTCCCAATTTTCCAAGAAATCTCCATACTACTTTCCATATTGGCTGCACCAGTTTGCAGTCCCACCAGCAGTGTATGAGTGTATCATTTTTCCCTCATCCTCACCAACACTTATTGTTGTTTGTCTTCATAATAGCTGCCATTCTGACTGGAATGAGATGAAATCTAAGATTCGCTTTATCTTTATGAAAGCATTATTATTATCCCTATTGCAGCAATGAGGAAACCAAGTCCCAGAGTGTTTGTTTCTCTGTTCCAAGGTTGGTTACCAGAATCTCTTGCTCCAAATTCTGTGCCCTTAAATAATTTACAGCCTCTCTCTGCACAAGAGTTCCAGGATTGAGACCTGGAAAAGGGAGGGCCAGATGAAGGCTCGGAGAACGCTTAGATGCTCTTAGAAAGATCCCAGTCCTCTCTTCCTTTTATTTCACTCAACACTGCTCTCTGCATTCTGGCTGCCCAAAACATTGTGTTCATTTTCTCTCTCTCTCTCTCTCTCTCTCTCTCTCTCTCTCTCTCTCTCAAATTATTAATTACTTAATTAAATCTTAATTAGGTATATATGATAGCAGAACACATTTTGATTCATTGTATATAATTGCATCACAACTTTTCATTTCTCTGATTGTACACAATATAGCATTGCACCTTATATTCAGTCATACATGCACTTAGGGTTGTGATGTCCATCTCATTCCACCATCTTTCCTTCCCTCATACCCCCACCCTAACCCGCCTTCCCCTTTGCCCAAAGTTTCTCCATTTTTCCCATGCTCTCCCCCCATTATGCATCAGCATTCACTTATCAGAGAGAACATTCAGCCTTTGGTTTTTTGGGATTGGCTTACTTTGCTTACCATGATATTCTCCAACTCCATCCATTTACCTGCAAATGCCATAATTTTATTTTTTAATGCTGAGTAATATTCCGTTATATATATATATATATATATATATATATATATATATATACATACCAAAGTTTCTTTATCCATTCATCTATTGAAGGGCATCTAGGTTAGTTCCATAGTTCAGCTACTGTGAATTTAGCTGCTGTAAACATTAATGTGGCCACGTTACCATAGTATGGTGTTTGTAAGTCCTTTGGGTATAAACCAAGGAGTGGGATACCTGGGTGAAATGGTGGTTCCATTCCAAGTTTTCTAAGGAATCTCCAAACTGCTTTCCAGTTTGGTTGCACCAATGTGCAGTCCCACCGGCAATGTATGAGTGTGTCTTTTCCTCCAAATCCTCACCAACACTGTTGTTTGTATTCTTGATAACTGCCATTCTGACTGGCGCAGGATGGAATCTTAGAGTAGTTTTGATTTGCATTTCTCTAGTTGCTAGAGATGTTGAACTTTTTTTATATATTTATTGATCGATTATGCATCATCTTCTGAGAAGTGTCTGTTCAGCTCTTTAGCCCATTTATTGATTAGGTTGTTTGCTTTTTTGAGTTTTAATCCTGGAGATTAGTGCTCTATCAGACTTGCATGTGGCAAAAATTTGCTCCAAAAATGTAGAATCTCTCTTCACCTCGTTGACTGTTTCTTTTGCTGAGAAGAAGGTTTTTATTTTGAGGCTATTTTCTCATAATGATGCTATTTTTGCTTCTTTGATCCTCAGCCTGTGGGGCCGGAGAGGAGGCAGGATCAGTCTTTGCTTTTCTGCTGCTTACAGATTTTGCTCTATCACTTTACCTGCTGCACCTCCCCCCCCAAAAAAAAATTCTCCCTAGAATCGTGGCTTCCAGAATCCCATGTTTTCAGCCTGATCATCATCCACATATTCTTGAACCCATGCTTGACCATCCCCTGGTCATTCCCCTTTCCCACTTAGGCACTTTCCCTAAATCCTTACCTTCCTGGTGAAATCAATATAAACATCAGTGATTCTTCCCCAAATCTGACCCCTCCTTTCCTTCACCTGCTCTTCATTATTGGTTTTGAATTCCACCTTGTCTGACCCACTCATTCCCTCTATCATATCCTGGACCCTCTCATTATCATTATCTTCCATTGCTAATGTCAATTTTAGGTATCTCACCCTCTGTCGGCCTTTGTCCTTGGTCATTCCTTCTGTCACCCAATTTTTGGGTGTGCCAAGTTTCAATCCTGATAATTTTTGATTGTGTTAAATTTCCATTGCTCCTGACCCACCACATTGTTCCTTGTTTTTCTCTTTATTCAGCTTTTGTCCATGGCCCACTATTGTAGTCAGTCTCTTGAAGATACCTTCAACTCGCTCATCCCTCTTTTCCTTTGTCTTAGTTTCCTTTTAACAATCCAATTCTTCATTCTGTGGTGAAACTAGCAAAGGCTGGAGAACCTGTGGCTCCACTGGCTAGCGTCACTGAACTCATGACCTCCCAAGTGCAGGTGGACGCTGGAGCTGCCTGGTGAAGTTGCTGCCAGTGGCTGAACAATCCACATATCCACTTTCCTCAGGAATGATTTCACGTCTTCATTTCTCTCCTCAAATCCCCAACTCTTCTCCTCATCTTCTTCTCTACTGATGCTGCTGCTTCCTGTTTCATGGAGGAAATAGGTTCAGAGACACTTCCTCCACAAACACCCTCCCAGCACCACTGGTGGGCTTGGCTCACCTGTGCCCAAGTGAGTGCAGCCCACACTCCCACCCAAAGCAAGCCCCTCACTTGGTTCTAGATGCTCAGTCTCAGTCACTGTGCAAGCTGCTTATTCCCTGTGTCAGCCTCTATTCTCTCTGCTAGATCATTCTCATCAGCATAAAACTCTGAAGGGATGCCTCTCTACAAAAGGAAGCCTCCTCCCTGGCCCCAGCTGTCAATGCTCTGTTTTTCATTGTTCTTATGGCCAGACTCCTCACTGCCATTAGTTTGTGTTCACTGTCCCCCTCCACTTGGAATCTTTTCCCAGTAGAATTTTATTTCCACCACCTGTTGAAACCACCTTTATCAATGTCAACCAGAAGGCTTTTAATGTCTCCCATTGTCATTCCAATGACTTAACTTCTGCCTTCTGAAATTCCAGCATCAAGGCTCATCAAGGCTCATCAAGGCTCAGCCCCCACCTAACAGGAGCATTTGGGAACCTATCAATTTTGTGTTCGGATCGGATGTGTTCCTCACAGTCCTTATCTGTAATTATGAAATTCAAGCTGCTCAGAAAACTGAAATGTTTTTTGTAACTCATGACAGCAAAACCAGATCTGAATACTGTAGATTCTTTATTTAACCTACTCAGTGGTGATGCTGATAACATAACGACATAGAAAACTGCTGTAATTGATAGCAAAGTCAAGCCTCAGACCCTCCTTGGAGGTGTTACATAATATACAGTTTATGCAGAAGAGCACATCAAGCCCCAAGGAATCTAGAAAAACAGTTATGGACCTGGAGTAGAAATCTAAGATTGCATTCAGGAAGATAAATTTATTTGTAACTAGGCATGTTTTGATCATATATGAGTTTACAATACAATGTTATTTTATGGGAATGAAAATAAACATTGGTTTTATGTTTATTTATATCAAATAACATCTTTAAGATATTATATATCTTAATTTTGCATGAAACATGTAATTTCTAGTTATTGTATATAATTTAGGTAGATAATAATAAATAAACTTGTCAGAATCTTCATAAAACATCTGCTTCAAACAGTAATACTTGGAGAATTATTATTTATTCCTAAAGGGGAAAATATCTATAGAACTATAATTGTGTTTTTGTATAAAAACAAAGTAATTTTGTTAAGCATATGATATTATTCAATAAAATATTTTGTTGTCATTTAAATTTACAGTATAAAATGCAAAATCATAAATGAGAACTTCAGTTGCTCTATTCAGCAGGCACATTAATCTGGCTACTTTCCATAGTGCTACAAATATTAGCCCTTTTAAATTGTCAAATTGTCTATATAATAGGCAATAATATAATCTACATTACAGATAAAGAAAGCAAGAAAAGAAAGGGTAAATAACTTGCCCAATGTTATTCATGTTGAAAATAGATTTGGTTCAAAATAATATGTATATCCATTGTCCTAATCCAAAGCTAATGGGGCCACAGTAACCCACGAATACTGTTATTTTAAAATAATTTGACTTAAAATAATTTCAGATGTAAATTACAATTTGCATGTTAGATCTATTAACTGTGAAATCAAAACTAAAATTGTGTGATTTTTTTGTATTCTCAGTGAATAAAACTGGTCATTGTACACTTTCAAATCATAACATTACTTCTCAGTTAAAAGACATACAGAAATGATGCAGATACCAATGCCATGACAATAAATTGGGACTAAAGAAACTTCTTCCATCAATTGACAAATGTACAATTATGTTTTAACCATACTACTATTGAGTAAAACTAATTTTTTTAAATTATTTAAAGTTACATGGGTAGTAATTAAGATATTTTAAAAATTATTTTAAAAGGGGTACATTTTTATATCTCAGCAATAATCCTTTATTTGTTGGGGAACCTAATTGGAATAGAAGACAGATATGAAACAAATATTCATGTGTGTGCTTTCATATGTTTTTCTCTTCAATTTTTTACATTGAAAAATTTCTAACCATAGAAAATTTAAGAGTAGTCATTATTAATATTCACATACATTCCACTCATATTCATTAGCATTTTGCAATCTTTGATTGCTGAGCCATTTAAAAACAAGTTGTAGATATTATCACTTATCAATTCCCTAAGTCTTTGGAATGCATTTCCTAAGAATGAGGATATATTCTTGTATAGCTATAATATAATGATTATATCAAAACATTTAACAATGATGCATAAAGTTTTTGTATTAATAATAATTTTATATCATTTTCAAATTTTCCCAGTAAGATCTTTTATGAGCTTTTGTTTGTATATTTATTTATTACTTTTTTAGCTAGTGTCCAATAAACATTGTGTGTAGAATTTAATTGTCAGGTCTCTTTAGTCTTCTGAAATCTAGAACAGTCTTCTGGCATTGTTTTCCTTCGTGACATTGAGATTTTGAAGACTACCTACATGTTAGTTATTTTGAAAAATATTCCCATATCTGTATTTCTCAAATTATTTCTTGATTAAACATTTTTGGAATAAATTCTATAGTGTTATTATGTATTTCCTCATGGTATCATATCAGGAGGTATATAATGTCACCTTGCTCCATAATTGGTGACACTCAGTTTGATTGATTGGTTAAAGTGGTGTCTACTTTAGTTAAGAAATCAGAGTTACAACTCATTGGTAGTGCACTTTCATAGCATTCATGAGGTCCTGAGATTGATTCCACGTACAACAAATGTTAAAGAGATTTTGCATCACTATGACCAAAAGACATGACAAGAACAACATAGAGGAGGAAAAACCTATTATGTCTCATGGTTTCAGAGGTTCAGTCCATTGTTAGCTGACTCCAAAGTTCTTGGCCCTAGGTAAAGTAGAACATCAAGGTGGAAGTGGGTGGTGGAGAAAGAAAGCTCAGGACATGAGGGAAGGAAGGAAGTTTTTCAAACAGGAAATGATGAACAAGAGAATCTTGTAACATCGGGAAGGAAGAATAAATAGGAGAAATATGAGTATATACAAGGGATTTTATATAGTGGTTTTTGAAACAAAAATTACAATGCTATGGGACACTCAAAATAATAGTATTTAAAAGAAAGGTAAAGGAATTGAAGCAGAAGTAAGGTGTCCACACTTCACTCAAAGTGGTAAATGTTGATACTTACACAACAGTCTCCTGACTTTGAGGACACACCTGTATATATTAATAGAAAGAACAGTCAACTAGGAAATTATGCAAAGAGGTGGACTTGAAAGCACTCTAATTATTGCAAGATGATTGGAGGAGAGGGTAGTGTTTTCAAATAAATGGTGCTGGGACAACTGTATACACACACTCAAAAGAAATTAAAGCAGTTATTTTAATTTTTGAATCTTAGTGTAGCAGGTTAAAATACTTATCCAATGGTTTATATTTTGCTTGACAATCATGTGTTTTATAAATCAGCAAATAATTACCTGGACTTTCTATTTCTTTAAAAATATCAGAAAATCGATTAATTCTCACATGACAACAGTTGGTAGGTGCAGAACATAGGGCCACCTCTTTTAAGTGAGTGTTGGAGTTTTCAGGTTTCCCACACTCACTTGGGAATTTGTTAGTGAATTACCACAGGTTGTCTCAGAGAGATTCTATGACTCTGTTATCCTTGGGGAAAATATTAGTTGATCTCTCCATCAATTTGCATAACAGAATACATGAATGAAAAAAATTGTAAATTCTCTTTACTCACCTCAACTAATAAATGGTAAATATTTCTTCAGCTTGAAGATGGAGCCCAAGACTAAAGGATTAAAACAGCAGCAACAGCAGCATAAGAAACTTCTGGAAGCCATGCTTTCTCAGGATTCCTTTGAGTCCATCCACAGCCCTACCCCATCTGTAACAGAAGAAGTCATTGACAAGGAAGATGATGCAATGGAGTTGCTGGGTAACTTTAAAAATTAATAATTTATCTCTTTCTTTTTTTTCCTCTTGTATTGTAAAGTATGCAGTGGTTAAGAGGTTTTTAACAAAGTTTTGAATAATTTGTCATAGGAAAAAGAGAACATTTAAACATATTCATTAGATTAGACTTTCATGAAGTTAAATGTAAGAACCAAATTGAAATCAGCTAAGCATGTGAAATATTTATTAGACTGTATTTTGTGCTTTGTATATGCAGCACTTTGCCTTCTGATACTTAATCAAGCTTTATTGTGTGTGCAACTGTGATAAAAATTCAAGTCTGTCTGCTTTATTCTCTGATTATAATTCCCTTGATCACACCTATTATCCTTAATATATATCCAAAGTACACATTTTAGTCCTCATCTCAAAATGTCCCTCTGTTATTTTAAGGATGCTTTAGAAAAAAATAGAATAAAGTTGAAACAGGCAGTTAGTAAATTAGTGTTTTATGTGTTCCATAAATGACAGGAACATTTGCAGAGTTTTTAAAGTCTCTTCAGGGTCATTACTTTCATGAAAACTATTAATCTTGTATATATAGAATATCTTTTTATATGTCTTAGTGAAGCATATGTATGTTTTGCTCCTGTATAAATTTCTCTTATTTATTCATTTATTGTGGCACAAGGGATTGAACCCAGGGCCTTGTGCATGCTAGGCAAATGCTGTACCACTGAAATACACCCCTAACTCCCCAACATATAGGTAGTTTTTAAATTGAGCCTCACTTTAGAAAATCATTTTTTCAAAAGAAGAAAATGAAATTTTATTTTAGAGAGTTAGCCATTTGTAACACAATGTGTTTTTAATTCAGTGATATCAGTTTGTCCATATAAATATTTAAAACAATTTCTGAATTTTTTGTGACAAGATACTACTATATTTAACTGGAAAGAGAAAAATAAGGTAATACTTTGAAAGCTTCACATAAGTTTTACATATAAAATATGGAGTCCCAGGGGGAAAAAGAAATGTTCTAAAGATAGTTTTTTCTAAATCACATTTCTTAATTTAAAGTGTCAATGGTAGTAAAGTAGTTTCATTTTAATAAATGATGCATGTCTCCATATTTAGACTTCAGAGGTGTTACATAGTCAATAATGGCAGGTTCAAAATGGTTTCTGGTATAATAACTGCATTAGTTCCACCATTAGGGAGACTGTATAGTGGCATTTTTACTACATGCAATTAATAATCTTTCTTTTTCTTTTTTTTTTTTGCATTTTTAAAGCAATTAAGTCTTTCTCCTCACCTATAAATCATTAGTGTGGTAGATGTGCCAGATGTAGTCACAGTATCTGCATTCAACTTCCATTCAACATTCAATAAACATTTACTGAGCACTTATGTGCTAGGCTGGGCTTGGTCCCGGGGATATAAAAATAAAATAATAATTGTCTGTTTGCAGGAACTTTGCACTCAAAGCACTCAAAATAAAATGTAAATACATCACTCTAGTGGTGTTTTCTACCTGCAATAATTAAGCTAAGCACCCACTTGCATATAAAGGTGATATTTAATCCAGAAGTGAGGGACAGTGATCAGAGAATGTGTCTTAGACATGCTGATGCCCCTGGTTAGTCCTGAAGGACAAGTAGGAATAAGATTATTGGGTGTCGTGTTGTCATTGCTCTTGTAGGTTTGTTCACAGAGATATGGGCTCTTTTGTGACAGGTCCTCTGTTTTGGTCAGTAACAGTGAGGGGGGATGAGAACAAGGGATTCTTGAATGAGACACAGGTTTCTTCTCAGTGCTGGTATCCCCTACATCTCAGCTGCTCTGTTATGACATTTCTTGTTTTCCAACTAGAGGATTGGGTTTTGGAGAATATGTAATGATAAGCAATTCATAATTGTCCTTTGTTAATTCTTTTTTTTTGTTTCATTTAGACATTTTAGTCTGTGTACTGAGCAAGTTTAATATTTAAGTTTGGACTTTCTCTTTGTAATCCCACACATCTCAGCAGAGGTTAGTGGTGGAAGAATAATGTTGGTTTCTAAGTTATAAAGTTTCCCTGTGATAACATGGAATTGTCTAAGTCCACTGGACTATTCTACAAATAGTACCATGTACATTTTCTTAGTTTTGAAACTGTTTGTAGAGTAACATGCAAAATACAAATGTTAAGTTCTTGAAAATTTAGGTGATATCAAATTTTAGGACATAGGACTATTGTAAGATGCAAGAGAGACATTTGGTATTTCAAATATCTTTTTGAATCTATGATATGTTGTAGAATGAGTATGCTAAAACTTATGTGTTTTTAAGGGTTTAACTTGTTATGTATATCAGGATATAACTGGCTAAAATTTTATTTATCATGCATGGGAAGCACTCTGTAAACCTTATGAGGTAATGCATAAGTCAAAGGTATAATTATTACCTAATATTAATATAAACAATGATTATTCCTCAATAAAATAGTTTGATATAAAGGGAAACATTTTTTACTTGTTCTAGTAGATATTAGTAAAACTGGTGATTCTTGTTTCAGCCATGAAAATATCTAGCATTATTAATATATTATTGATTAATAGTTAATTACTCAGTTGTTTAATTGTATATATGTGGATTTCTTTTTTAACTGTTTTAGGTATATGAAAATATTATATATGGCATCTATAAGTTTTAAAATAGAATAAGTGTTCTCTGTAAGATTGTTTTAAATACTGTCTATAAATGCATAGTACAAAAGTAGGTTAATATAATATTAATGCTACCTATCAGGTAATAAAATAGCCAAACTTGTAGAATTTTAATACACAACAGTTTTAAACACCTTGGAAATTGGTTCTGTAATTATGAGACATTGAATAATATATCTGACATGTAACCTCAAACTATGTAGTTCTCAACCACAAATGCAAAACATTCTTAAATATTTATGTTGGCAATTAATGGCCACAATGAGTAAAATATTTTACTAAGAATTTTTCTTAAAAATTATTAAAATCTAGACAGGCATGGTGGTGCACGCCCATAATTCCAGTGATTCAGGAGGCTGAGGTAGGACAATCACAAGTTCAAAGACATCCTCAGCAACTTAGAAAGACCCTAAGCAACTTAGTGAGACCTTATCTCAAAATATAAAAAAAATAGAAAAGGCTAGGGATGTGGCTCAGTGGTTAAGTGCCTCTGGGTTCAATGCCTGGTACCAATTTTTTAAAAAAGATGTATTGAAATCAGTTTTTTTGAAAATATGGTGAAAAGGTGTCATGATAGAAAAAAAAAAGTAATTTATAAAAATTATATTTATTCCATTCTTCTTAAAGAAAATTTTGAGGGGCTTCATTAGTTTAAAAGATTTTTCAGTTTGTAAATATGAGCCCATTTTTATTACATTGCATGAATTTATCATCTTATTCTAGTTGAAACTCAAATAGCTATTATGTGTTTGATTTTTTTCCATGTGATTTATTCTGATTTTTATTCATTTTTTAAATCCTCAGAATTATATTTGACAGATATAACTAGCTTTCTACAGATTTTAGTATGAAATATTACTTGTAAAAATTTTTAGGCTTTCTTATAATTGGTGCTGAGGCATATATCTAAAAGTCACATTCCAGATATGCTTAAAAATAAAAACATTGGTCATGCTTTATGCTTTCCATCCTTAGCTCATAGTTATATAAAACTAAAATTATATTGCCAACCCAAATAAAGTTATTACAAACAGATATCACTTGTTTTAAAATGAGTAATCATGAACAGTTTATAATTATACTGATTATTTTGCTGAATGTCGTCATTGAATTTCTGTAACCTCAGTATCATGCCAAATTTTGTAAAATAAAAACTAAATTTGTTAGAGGGACTCATTACCTTAAGGCATTCTTTTGGCAAATTGTTTTACATCCTGATCAACCTTCTAGAAAAAGAATATTCACTGTTGTTTTTTTAAATCAAAGACCCCTTAAAACAAAAAGCTCCCCATCCTTGCAAATTAAGAACACACGTTTCACCTAGTGAAAAATGAATGCTTTTTCTCAATGATGTCAAAATACAAAAAGGAAGGGGACCCTAAATGTTTTCTGAAAAATTATCTATGTATGTATGTATGTATGTATGTTTGTATGTATGTATGTATCTATCTATCTATGTATGTATCTATCTATCTATCTACGTATCTATCTATGAGTCTGTCTATAATTTAAGGTATATAGAACACTCTGAAATACAGAGTACCATACAAATGCACTTTTGTCAATTTTTTTTTTCTTTTGAGTATTGATGAATAGAACTCTCAGGATGACAAAAAAGTTGTCACTTTAAAATGAGGATTAAAAATTCTTGACAAAAGTCTGAAGATTTTGAAAAATTAAATCTGTGTATGCTTCAATATTGTCCATAAGATTGCTTAAAATACTATATGTAAAGTTATTCAATAGAATACAAAAATGATTTAATATAGAATTAGTACATAGTGGAGAATAACATACCCCAACATTTGTTGTTTTAAGATATAACAAATTTTTAAGAACCACTGAAGTTAGTGCTCTAAATCTCAGATACTGATAAAATAACTTCCTAATTACCTCAATCTGACTAGGTCTCATCTTGAAATATATGATATTCTAAAAAATTCCAGTAATTATTGTGACTGTTGATGACCACAGTTAACCAGATTATTGAAAATCTACACATGTATTTTTTTTTTTTTTACTTTTCACTAAATCAATCTGCATAGTTGAAAAAAATAGGACTTTATGAAGATGTATGAAAATATCTTTCACATGCTAAATAGTGTTTTATCCTGGTAAGCCTGTGTGTTACAGTAACAGTCCTGTGAAATGTTCCTCACTACAGAGTTTTCACTTATGTTTCTGAATCCTAACTTCAGCTGTTTTTGGTGCCATCTCTGCCTGCACAAATGCCAAGTGAGTGCAGCTTGAAGTGTGGCCTTTGAGGAGCTGAACATGGCCCTGTGCTTGCCTTGCCATAATCCAATGATGACATTTGAGAAAATCCATTCAAACACATTCATTCAGTAAGTATAATGCACCTGCTCAGTAAATTGCACTAGTTCATACTAACATATAATACTGGTAATACTGCATCTTATGTTTTCTAATAACCATGACCTCTTTGGGGTTTGAGAAGAGGGTGAAGAGTGGGAATGTTTTTCCCATTGAGACCCAAATAAATTGTAGTTTTCTGACAGCTCTCAATTGTTCTGTTCATTCACTTACTCACTCATTCATCCATTCACAGACTTATTAATTTCTTAAATGTGTAACTCTCACCTCCAGAATAACGATCATTATGTTTATGGGAGTCCAAATTTGAACAAACATGGAAGTTTTGACTTCAGGAAGGTGATTTTTAAGATTTGTTTTCCTTCCAAATCATCTGGGGGGTTCATTTAAGTACATTGTCCAGTCGTCCCTGCCCCCATTTTTTTGATTCATTAGATTTGGATACAGCCCATCAATCTACATTTTTTTTCTACAGGAATGTCCTCCTCCCTTTCTGTAGATTCCATTGCAGGGGATCTGTAGAGCATTCAGGAACCCTAACCTAGTATTTATATTCAGTGAAAATTTTCGTTAGATATAATGTACTGGAAGTGAGGAGGATATTAGAAAGTCTATTTTTTTTTTTTTTTTTTAACAAAAGATCATGAAATAGAGGTTTCTGAGTTAACTAAGCTCTTCCAAAGCTGTTCTGGAAACAATGAAGTTTTGCTCTCAAACTTTCACTAATGTAGTTTACATCACCTTTTTCTCTTGCTGATATATTTTTACAAGATCATTTGCTTATAGTAGAGGAGTTATAAAAGTTATAAATGATTCTAGCATAAACCTGAGAAAATTTTTTCTTTCTTATTCGATTTTATCATCAGATCATATTAAAACCTTACCATGTTTACTGTGCTTTTCTTACATGTGACTCAGCCGCCCTCCTCATAGCCTTTTAGATGGACTTCTGCTTGGCATTGTTTTCATTTTCCATCCTATTCATTCTTTAATTCTGTTTCTTGTCAACAGAGGATCAGAACATTTGCAAATATAACCAAGGTTTGGAGGTAGAGATTGCCCTTTAAATAAATATAATAGCTCATCGTATTAAATGATTTACTTTTATGGAGTTTAATAAGAAATGTTGGGTTTTTTTTCCCTGTAAGTTTGTTTTCCAATGGTAAAAGTAGATTAATGTTCATAATTAAATCAATAATTTACAAATAAAACCTAAACCCATAAACAAAATCTTGCCAATGTCCCTTCATCTCAACTGTATACCGGGTGAAAATTTCTTTATTTGCGAGATAGCTGTTTGTAATATATTTGTAGTTAGTAGAGTTTCTTATTTTAATATATATATTTATCATTTTGAATAAGTTACATATTGACTCATAGCAATGATAATATGCTTTACATGTTTATGCTACTTTTCACTGAGTATTTTGGCAAAGCTGGGGGGCCACTGTGTGATGTGGTCTTTGTGGCCTGTGGTCAAAGCACTGGGCTAAAATTCTAAGACCCAAGTCCAGCCTTCATCCTTTCTCTGCTAGTTTTAACATCTGAGCTACAAGTAATTACTTTTAGTACACTAGTAACAACTTATGACTCTCATACTCCAAAAGAAAAATGTTATACTGATAACATTCCCTGAAATGTTATTAATTTTGGAGGTTGAATAGTCCCTGAAAGTGCTATTACTTTTTTTCTTTTTGTCATGGCTAACAGGAATATTGAAAAAATGATGCTAGATTTTATGCAAAAAAATGCTTTCTTTCAAATAAATTGATATTCCCTAACCCACCTACATTTCAGGTAGATACAAGCAGAAGAACAAAAGAGTTCCTTTAACTTTGTGCAATTGCCTACTGAGAGTAAAAATTTATGTTTCTTAGGATATAGTGAAAGAGTTGGAGAGAAAGCAGGTGAAGCTATAAATGTATTTGCCTGCCAAAATATGTAATAAGTCAGTACGAAGTACTCCATCTCATTTTTTAACATGGATATTTAAACAAAGGTAGACATTTATGTGATTTGGTTTTGGTGTGGAGCAAATTACTCTCCTGTCTTTAATTTTCTTGCTTATAAATGTATAATTTGTAGGAGAAAATAAAAATGTTTTGTGCCTATCCATGTGTCGATACGAAAAAAGTAGAAGTTGGGGAAGGAATAAGAGGAGGAGATACATAAAAACTAGAAATTTGTACTCTATGTTTATATGCTTCTGTGTAAATAAAGTCATAAATGTGTTGAAAATATTTAAGCTTTAAAATTATATTGGTATTATAATATATTGATATATGCTTTCCAATTATATTGATAAATTATATTGATATTATAATATTATATTGATATTCGCTTTCCAATTATATTGATACATAAGTACATATTTGAAGTAGCACAATTATGATGGTTCTACATTAATACATTGTATAAGCAAACCAGTGTTAAATATTGTTAGGGTTTTGTTTCTTTTGAAATAAACTTGCCCTTTATACATATTTAATAAAAAGGTGATGTTGTATTTCAAGATTATTTGTTTAGCTACGTTAATGTTTTTCATATAATTTAGACAAATCTGAATTTTAATGTAAGAGACATTTGAAATGGTGCAAAGTCTTAATTTTATTATATTTTTTCTTGGTTGAAAATGTGCAAAGGAAGTGTAATTAATTCAGCAATTATTTGCAAATTAACATCAAATTCAATAGTTATTAAAGATATTATATGGATCTTACTTAATTGTTTAAAGTGATTGTATAAATTATAGGCATTTGTTTAGATTTTTATATATGACAATATCATTGACAACTTTCTCATCATCTCTGAATGGAAATGTTAAAATTATCGAAGCTGAATACTTGAATATGCATTCACAAAAGAGTGGCCACAAAACTTGCCAGTTATTTTCATCATCTGAGAAACAGTATCTTTTTTGATAAAACTAATTCAAATCTTTTAATATATATTTTATTAACACATTTTTAAAATTCCAAATGTCTAAACTGGTCCTATGTGTGAATTTCTTTTGGAGTGAAAATATGTTTTTGTTTTCAAATGTCTTATATTCTATTATTTCAGAGAGAAATATACTTAGCAATAGTGAATGTATGTTTTTTTTTTTTATCACTCTAAGTCTTTTAAATAGAAGAATACTAAGGAGTACAAAAGGAAAGAGATTACAATGTTCTAGTGGAGATAAATTAATTCTCACAATTTTAATGTGTTTTTCAATTTTTTGGTTTGGTTGGGACAAAAGAGAATTTAACTCCTGTGTTAATATAGGATGAGCTTGCTTGTATTAGAATGAAAACTTATGGAAATATAACATAAAATTTCTTTAAAATTCATCTTTTCAGGAATTTCTAGGAGTTTACTGGTTTAACAGTTTTTCTTCTCATAAGTTCTGTCAAGTTTACTTTTTAATTACTGACATTTAGAAAGGACTGTGTGTTTTAAAACTTTAATGTAGAGTAATATTAATACAGTAAAACAAAATTAATATTAATTATCTTACAAAATTAATTTTGTAGAAACACTAAATAGCAGAATGTTAAAATTGATAACAGCATGAGCTTTATTTGTAGATACATAACCCTTGTTTCATATTTCATCAGTGATTCTAATCTATGACTTGAGGATAGTAACTTTCTTCCTGCAGATATCAGACATCAGAAAAATGGGAGTAATAAAAATATTTAGTGAGTTTTGTGAAGATTAGGTAAAATAAACCATAGATAGTTCAATCTGATGTTCTTACCTTCTCTTTATGGACTTTTGACATTTATGATCTGAAACTTTCTTTAATAGCATTGTTAGTATTTTGGTGGCTGAGTTGAGGACATATTTTATAGAAATTAATTTAAGATAGGAAACATATCTCTGTTTGCCTAATACAAAAGGGCCAAATAAGCTCTAAGCAACTCAGTTTTGATAAGGAAAATTGAGAATGTGGGAGGTGTTATTCTCCACATAAAAATTTTTAACTGAGAGAAAGAAAATCCTAAGATCATACATTAAAAAAGAGAGAGAGAAAATAAAATCAAAATCCCAAAAGCAATTTCCTTTTCCAATGAAGTTTAGATTATTTGCTAATGGAACTATTCCTTTTTCAGTCAAGAAGCAAATATGATTGTTTCTTTAGAAATGCTGTCTTTCTTAAAACACTCTTGCTTACCATAAAGAATAATGCCATTATAATGTATACATTTATGAATTTTTTATTGACTTCCTAACATACATTATTGCTTGCTCTAGTAACCAGGGATTTGTAATATCTCAGTATAAAAAATGAAGGAAACAAAACAAAGCAAGAAATGTTATATGTGCCCATTATTAATCTTCTAATAGCATTAATATCTTAACATTCTTAGTACCCTTTGCATTCCAGTGTTCAGATGCTTATGTGATCAGGTTGGTTTCATTGTTTGCTTTCTCTCTCTCTCTTTATTTTGAAGCTGTATGTGTCTACATTGCCCAGGTTCATCTCAAATTTCTAGCCTCAAGCAATCATCTCACCTCAGCCACCTACAGGCAAACATCATGCTACTTGGCTGATTTCATTGTTTATTTCCTTCTTGACAAGCAAAAACTTTTAGAAATTTGAACAAAGAACTTATGCTTTCTTGCCAAACTGTTGGCATAAGTAAGTCATTATAAGCTAATTTGAAGGCCTTTTTAATATCAAAATTTCTGTAGCTAAATTTCCTTTAAAATAATATTTAGTTGTGGTTATTAAAAGATAGGTATTCATGTTAAAGAGCATGAAAATACAGAGGTCAAAAATGAACAAATAAATATTACCATGTAATAATTATTCTTCATGTTTTATTGATGTTTTTAGATTTTTAATATAGTATGAATATAAAATAACATTAATATTTCTAATACACTATTCACTATACTAGGTGCTTTCTGTACCCTACTTAGCAATCACAAAAATGCCATCGAGCAGGAAATCTTTTTATCTTTATGCCACAGACAAGGAAAAAAGTTCCTTGAGGAACAAAATTTACCCATGTTACATAGTTGTTATTAAAGAATCAGTTAACTAAACCTGAACAATTAAATACTAACTATGCAGCAGTGCACATTAAATACACATATATGATAAGCAAAGTTTTTATGATAAACAAACTCATGATAAACTTTTAGAAGTTAACATCTGCACCTAGTCATCAGAATGGCCGACTGGTCTCTTTCCATTAAACAATTTTGAAATTAGACAAAACATATGAAATCAACTTTTCAGGCACTTGATGAAAGACTCAGCAGAAGGCTTCATCCTCCAGAGGAAGGATATGAGTGATCTGAGCCCTTCATTTCACCCTCACTTTCTTCGTGACATCACATCCAGAGCCAGCTTGTATGGAGGTGGAAGTGCAGTGCTGGGGAAGAGTGGGGCTCTCACAGAGCTGAGGGCATGGGCCCGCAGTTTGAGGCCTCTGAAGGGGCTGGGATTTGTGGAACAGTGCCAGGAGAAGAAGGCTGAGAAGATGCTGTTGACAGACCTCATAGGAATGTTCCCCTTGGACCTTTGGCTGAAAACTGGTCTGCTTTTGCAGCAGTTTTTGTAAACTTTAAGGGAGGATGTTATGTTTTTGGTAAGTGAATAGAGAAACTGAGGACAGACTAAGTTAGGACTCCTCTGAATTCCACTCCTGAGAGAATGAATAAATCTCCAGGAATTCCTTGGGCATTCAGAGGAGACCTAGGAAAAGCCAAATATTGATGGCTATTCCTAAGAGTGAGATAAAAATTTAAATAGAGCCAGTTAAATAGTACAGAAATTATACCTAATGATAAATTATACCTAATACCTAATGAAGTAGATCTGCCAATTTAATTCCTGACAGAACAAAACTCAGCAACCCTTAGAGAAGACAAGCCTTCATACGAAGATGCAGCCACAATGCTTATCATATAATACAGAATTACTAGTTAGGAAAAGAAGGATAGTGTGACCCAAAATCAAACAGAAAGAACTACCAATAAAGACAGACTTTAATATAGAGATATGTGAGCCCTGGGTTCGATCCCCAGCACCAGTAAGAAAATCTCTCTCTCTCTCTCTCTCTCTCTCTCTCTCTCTCTCTCGGGAGGTGTGAAATTTGGATAACAAAAGATTTTTTAAAGAAAATTTTATACATATTTATGCATTTAGAGGAAAATATTATCCATATTTTGTGCATTTAGAGGAAAATATTATCCATATTTTGTGCATTCATAACGGTAAACAGATGGGAAATCTTAGCAGAGAAAATAAAACTAGAAAATGGACCAAAGGGATATCTAGAACTGTAAAGTACAATACTTGAGGGTTTAAATATCAATAGTAACATTGAATAATATAAAATATAATATAAAAGGAAGGATCAAGAAAATTAAAGATAAGTAAACAATACAGCTAAATGGAAGAGCCCAAGATAAAAAGAAAAAGGAAAACAAAATGAGAAGAACTTCAATGGCCAGTGAAACAATATAAAATATTTTTTCAGAATTCCAGAAAGAAGGGATAAACCATAAGAGAAAAACATATTTTAAGAGATATTATCCTCTTTTGTTTCTGGTCTAAATTTGGTGAGCAACATAACCTGTAATATAGGAAGTTTCAAAAATGCCAGGCTTAGCAAACTACACCTAGGGCTGGGGAGGATATAGCTCAGTTGGTAGAGTTCTAGGCACATAATTTTACAATGAAGAATCCATTAACCTTTTCTGTGGGGGAATCATTTTCTTATACATTATATTGCCTAATTATCTGATCCTTTGGAAAACTGATTCTGAGCTTGATTCCAAAAAGCTTAACCAAAATGTTTCTAACTTTAAAATAAAGTACTTTCAGATTGCTTCATAAAGAACCAGATTCAAATTACTATTTTTTAGACCAATAATGAGACTGCCTTCTCAGGAGGTAATCGACTCGTCAAGACAAATTGTTATTACATTGTATTGGTATTTACTTGCTGTGTTCCCACCCAGATCCCACAGGTAAGTAGAAAACAAACAAACAAACAAACACTTTGCACAGAGGCTACCAGAATGTGCTCTTGCTTTCCTTACAAATGGAGTGCCATCAAACAATCCTGGGACTCCAAAGTATGACTTTGTATACCAATAGGGAATATATAGACTTCCTAAAGAATAGTTGAGAGGCTACTTTCATTTTGCTTTCTACTTAATATGCAGTCCATAATAACAAGTATTTTCTGATTTGCTATTTTGTTCTAAGGCATAGGAGAGATGGAACCTGTCCTGACCAGGTGCCCAGAGCATAAATATCACAATAATGAGTAGGGATGGCTGTTGGCAGACAGGGATAAGAATCGAACAATTATGAACAGATGTGAGTTGGTAATGAAATATTTTAGAATATTCTCAGCTTTGAATTTTGGCCATTTGAATAAAATGCCCTTATAATAGGAGAAAGAAAAAGTGGAAATTTCCTACTTAAAATATGAACAGATGCTACAAATCCTCTGGATCTGTAGTTGCTTTCTTTATGACTCTGACTCTTATCTATTTGTCCTTCTCTGTGAGTTATGAACTTTTTAGAGATAAAAGTTACAGGAGAAGAGATGAAAATTATACAATGAACCTGCACATTTTTATTCTGTGTCAACACAAAACTAAGTTGTCCTTTATTCCGCAAACAGTTTGTATGCACACTGATTTGAGAGTGAAGTTAGATTATTCTTCACTTTATTTGGGTCTTTTGATCTAACTTTGATAACTAAC